TTGAACTCAGCATCCACCGAACTCTAAACCAGCATCTCTTCTCTTTGAGCTACCAATGCAGATGTCACATCTTTTTCTCCAGGCGCATTTATCTTTTTGTTTTCTTAGCCATTAATATATGTAACCCATCTTTACGATTAGACAACTAACAAATACAAAAAACATAACCTTTTCCAAAAAGGACAATCAGATTCATATTTTAATGGGGGAATCAAGACAACAACTCAGAGACTACAGATGCATTAACTCCCCATCCTCTAATACTCACGTCCACAGTCAGTCAATCTTCTCAATGAGAAGATCTTAGTCAACCTTCCCTATTCTAAGAAAATACTCCCTAGTGTATGGAGTCAAGCATCCCCACCTGCCATAACATTTATTGTTTTGAGCAATTTCGCTAATTGTGAGGTTTTACTGGAGGCTGCATTAGTCAGGGGTTGAACCTACAACCACAGGAACCAAAGCACAGATCCTTTATCCTCTGCGCCAACCAACCAGTAAAACACAACCATCATTGTGGTTAAATCTCATTAATATCTGCAGATGATGTATAAAAAAAAAATAATAAAAAAAATCTCTATTTCAAGCATATTAAGACTCTGATTTTTAGATTTAACCAGCATTGAAATAGTCATCACCTTATGTAATGTAGTGATGCTATGAGATGAGGCTTCGAGGAGTGTGTCGAGTAATGGAGGGGACGTTTCCCCGAAGGCGTGATTCATTTAGAGGAGGGGCCAAAATCGATGACCTCCAAGGCCTCGCTACCGTAATACCACGTGGCCGCTAGGAAGTGGTTCAAGAAGGGCAAGAATTCTGACAGGCATTTAAACAGCCTCTGTATTCAGTCAAGATGGAGTTTGTAGGAGCTGCTGATAGAGTTTGGATAGATTTTAAGAATAGATTGTTTTTCCAACCAATTAATCTAGTTCCTTAAAATATTTTGGTTACAATAAACAAGGTATTGATCAAAATCTAAGCAAGCCACCGGACACAGTTGTAACGTTAGTGTTAAGTAGTATTTTCTCCATTGAACAGTTAATCACATAAATGGCGTCATCTGTAGGACACAGGCTGCCTCTCCTCTGGTTGATGATTCAAAACCCACCTCGGACTTTAGAGAGTTGCTATTATACTTAATTATTTTGAATAATGAGACTAATTTGCATTGGTTTGCCCTTGTAAAAATATAGATTGGGTAAAAACGCTGCCAAATTAGGTCGGTTTAGCCAAAAGATTGGTTGAACACAACTTCCAACCCGATTAAAACCAAAAAATGTGGAAAAAAAATAAATATTATGTTTGAATAAAAATGACTAAAACCTTTCCTTTTGCTCATTATTGCCCAATTTGTACAAACACTTTC